CAGAGCAATATTCGGACCATAAGACGCAGTGACTTTTTCTCCCCTCTTTTGGGGGAGGAAAAGGTGCGTCTTATGGTCCGAAAAATACGGTAGTTGGATTATTTGTCGGATTTACGGTAGTTCGTGCTAATTGTAAGCGAACGAAGATAAAGACCATTTAAACTGAGGTACCTTAAATCCTACAAGTTGACCGGCTAAGCAAAAAATCTTGCTTTTTGATATGGGTCCATGGTATTGCACTTCTGTGGCAGATGGAATACATCCGACTCATGTTCAAGATGTTCAATAAACATGTTAAGTGCATATATATTCCCCTTTTTCTTGAGTCGGTTTGCTCATGCAAAATTAAATGTGATTAATATAGATTAAAAATTAATTATATTTAATCGTGGTTAATCGAAATTAATCCACAGCAACCCTGTGATTAATCTGATTAAAAATTTTAATCGTTTGACAGCACTAATATATATATATATATAAAATTTTAGATTTTACTCCAAGCTCTTCACTGTTTTTAATAGCCAAAAGTAGTAAAGAAAAAAAGAAAAATGCAGTTTGAGATGAACTTTGACCTTGAAAAAAGAAACATACAAAAGATGACGATACCATGAAAAACACTGTTGTTTAGAGCGTTCGAGTAAACTACAGTTGATAAAACATACAAAGGTTCCACGTTTGCTGCATTCATTAGCTACATATGCGCACTGAACCAAAAGAGCTGTACCTAAAATTTTCGGTATGATTACATGTACCATTATACTCCTACAGCAAAAGGAAACCTAAAATAACATATGCTACTACAGTAAAATCCCATTAAAGTGGACTAGCTTACAACGGAATATCGTCTAGAACGGACGAGGTCCGCTGGTCCCGGCCACGGGCCTTTAAGAACATGCAGAAAAAGCATCGGATATAGCGGACTCACATATAAAGGAATTTCGCTTATAACAGACAAACAATTTGGTCCCCAGGGCCACTTTTAGCTGTAGTTTTGTATAACAGACATGCAGCTCCGCCTACAAGGCGCATGGCGTGCCGGTGATATCCAGTGCAGATACGTAGTCGGATTATTAATAGTCACGCATCTGGTCAGGTAAAGTTCGATTACTACATGTACAATATAATAATCTATACCACAAGTGTGTCTGCTGGGGTATGGCATGAGTAAATGGTGTCCTGTAGTTGTGTTACGGCCATACGGCAACTCTGGATATAACGGACTGTTTTGCCAGGTCCCTTGAAGTCCGTTATAAGTGGATTTTACTGGACTTAGATACTTGTCATTCTAGAAATTAAGAAGTTGGCAAAAAAAAATCCATTATCCCAGCCCAGTGATCACCAGGCTTTACCAGGAATGAGATCCAGGCCAGCAAACACCCTGGCTCTGCAGTACAGGGTGCGATAAGTGACGATCCTGCCTCCCAGACTGACAAGGCTTGGTCAGAATGTCAGATATCCATGTTACGTAAAAAGGTGGTGCTTGGGGTAAGGAGGGAGGAAAATGGAAGAAAAGAAAGCAGACTTGAAGAAATGTACAAAAACCCTGTTCTTTAAAAAGGTTGTTCATAGAGTGCAGTAAAATGCCAGGGGAAACGTTTGCAACGTCACAACTGACGAACAGCCACCGCTAAATATGACATTTACTCAGCATGCTCTGACTCTCAAAAGTGGTGGATTTTTTTTTGGGGGGGAGGGGGGCATGTAATACGTTTCCACCAACATGCCCCAAACGTAATGGCACTTAAGAACATGCCAGAACAAACAGGCAGACAATTTTACTGAGCGATTCTGAGCCTGATACATCAGTTATCATATAGCTATCAGCCGATAGTTGTTAAAAAATCAAGACATCCGGGTCGTTCTCATGTGTCAACCTTGGTCGACATTGCCAGTTCATGTTCAGACTTTAGTTAATATTCAATGTTAGCAGCACCAGAGCAAAATAGATAACTACTAATATTATGGAACTGATTGCACTGGGCAATCAGCCATTTTCCACAGTGGAGGACTAAGGATTTTGGTGGCTCATTCACCATTTAGAACCACACCAGTCTCCTAAGTCAGCAGTACTCTGCTGATGTCTCACTGCTTGCATTATCTGACGAGGCCGACACACACATTCACAAGACCTTAAGTAGTAACGTCACCGGTTAACATTAGACTAAAACATATCGGCATCAGACAAAATTTCCATATCTGTGCACCACAAACAGAAGGTAAAAAAAGTGTCACATCTTAACAAAAAAGGCAGCAAATATCAAGACCAAATCCCCAGTGCTGTCCAGCAACGTCAGCCGCAACTGCGGCTGATATTATGAAGGTTCTCAGCCTGAGACGTCAAACCATATCCATTTCTCTCTCTCTCCGCAGTACCCAGATAATCCTTTGCAGCCTTTTTCCCAACCATCCAGTTTCTCACAAACCTGACCAAATGTCTTCTGTTGAAGGAAGAGTCTGGTTCTCTCATTTCCCCCATTACCTCCTTAAAAGGAACAGCTGATCAAGGCTATCAGACTTTACTTAATATTCCCTAACAAATGTCTTCCTGGAGCATGCCATCAAACGATTACGGAGTTTTAGCCAGAGGTGGCCCTGGGTTTTCTGGCTCCCTATGCGAGATTATGCTGAGCACCCCTCCCCCAACCTGAAAAATTTTGTCAGTTTATTCATATTAAAAACATTTCAGTGGCACAGGGTATCTGGCTGCTAACCAGCTAGCCAGTTACCATTTCCAAAGACAAGCAGTGAAAAATTAAAACTAGGGTAAAGAACTAATGTCACGGAATGCAACCACAGGTTCTTCTGCTGATGTTTCCCACTTGCCCTTTTGCACCCCCTATCAAACGGCACCCTAGGCGATCGCCTATGTGGCCTATAGGGCAGGCCAGGCCTGCTTTTAGCTATGCATAAGCAAACCGACACACACGTTAAAGTCCAAATACAGTAACAGCTTGAGATTTTCACTTAAGCATGAAGTATTCATTGTCAAAGCACAGAGTGCATGGAAGGTGCACTTTTGGGTAATTGTACCAGCTTGTGAGTCTCTAAAAGCTGCTCTGCTGGGGGCTGGAAGGTCAGACAGGGGTCAGAGGGGAAGGCCTAACAGAGGACAATGACACTGACTCACGACCCTTTGGTACTGATGACCAAGGTTTAGCTCAGACAACTGGAAACTCCTGCCTTTTAAAATTCTCACTGGGTTCAAAACAGAAAGCAGAATCACGCTACCAGCCGTTTGGGCTGGTTCCAAACCCTGCTCTGACACATACATACATACATACACACACCCCCCAACACAGTCCCAGATATGCGAGGTGGTAACGTGATCAGCTGTTCCAGTAAGGGAGAAAGACTAATGCAAAGCTACTGTCAGACTTACTAAGAACAGGTAAGGCAGGAAATCATGGCAGGCCTAAAAAAAACACAGTATGTGACGTGAAGGCTTTGGCTACTGTGTAAAAAATGAATAAATGGTATCACGAAAGAAAGAAAGATTCTTGAAGACCAAGGGAAAAGATCATTAACATAAGAATTGTCCTTTGGTAACACCCCACATGTCTGACCACAGCGCTAGAGTATCAACTCCATGCTGTCACCCTCAACATTACATACAGTATGGGTTTGCCGATATGTTTCACAGAGGCTAGAGCTGGAATCCTAAGTTTAAAAAATAAGATTAAAAAAACTACTCATTCAGGGCTTTACTGGGATTTTTTTTCCTAAGATATTCAACGATTCGAGTTCTTTGCCCAATTTCTGGTAATTCACCAGCATCCAAACAGTTCCTGCTTTTCCAGCCTGTTAACATACATGGGTGCTGAGGGAAATGCAGCTCTGTTACTCACCAGTGCATTGACTTCTTCCTTTTTGTGCAACAACAATTGAACTTCTTCTGCATTTCGGTTAAATATGGCCTGGACCAGTGGAGGCTGAGGAGAAGATGAGATGTTTAAAGAGCATGCAGAGACAGATGTATTAGCTAGTAGTTCACCCACATTTGGTCTTCATAAAAACACACCTATAAAATATACACATCCAGCACTTAACACGCCAAATGAACTAAGGAAACAACCATTAGGCGCGCACACACACACTTTTCAGTTAGACTGTGCATTAATCCCCCTTATGAAACTTACGACATCTCTGGCACACAGTACATATTGGATAGCATTCTGTTATTAATGCAATCATGATAAGATGGTCAGCTCAGCAGATTTAGTCGCCAATCTGAAATATCACCCTTTTGGAAATAGCTGTAGGACTTAGCAACTTAGCATGTAGTCTTAAGTCAGTCACAGATCAAAGCCTGACATAAGCAGAACAGGAAGCCAAATGCTCTGATGCAATGAAAAATACAGTAGACACATTCTCAAATCTGGCACCAAACTGGAATGAGAAACACTAGGCAGACTGTCCTCAGAGCGTTCTGATGAATGAAATAAAACAATATGAGGGAGGGGCTGCCCGGTTGCATTTTTTGCGCCATGGGGGCCGTGGCAAACAGCTAACCCCTTTGTTTTAATACAACCACAGATGACTAATTACTGCAGCTGAACAAATACAAACTAAAGCTTTCTTCTCCATTTAACAGTCACAAACGGCACTGAAAAGCTCTTCTGTCTCCAGGCAGCACGTGGTGACATTCATTCATAGTCTCCAAAACCTAAATAAATATATACATTATATACACGCAACATAACAGGTGCACATGCACATGAGAATTAGCAGAAACCCAAGTTACTGGTAACCATATTCTTTCCCTAAAGAACAAGTTTACTGGCACACAGTACATATCGGACCTATATATATGAACAATTTAGAACTTCAAAAACAGCAGAAGGGCTATTTTATTTGCCTGACTCCACCCGAGTGATGCGCACATACACCGGAGCGACTGGGGTTAAGCATCTTGCAGAAGGGGACCGGGATGCTGTGCTCCTCTGAAAGGCACCGAACCTCAAGAAGCCGGACGGGTATAAAACTGTATGCCGTTTCGAACGAAATTGCTGCAGCAATAAATAACTTCTAATCTTAACACATTCGACCATCTGCGATATAAAACTAAAAATGTTAAAAACAGACTAGCACATGCATACATGGAGGCATTAGAATAATGTTTTAACTACGTACTATACGGTCACTGGACTTCGATTATGCAGCATGACAGACCGCAGCCGCGAACACCCGGATGACTAAGTTAACATAAAAAGCATCTATAGTACACCCATATTGGGCACGGCTATTCTGTCATTTAACAGCTAGTTAACTACCCAACTAGCTAGGTTACTAGTGAGCGTATGTTGCGCCTTGTAATGAAACTGCGCAGCTCCCCGCCCAGCCGTAGGAGGATTTTAACGCTCAATTACAATTTCTTAGAAAAGAAGCTGCAGTATTAACTTCACGCGTTTGTAAAAGCATGTGCAAAATACCAACTCGGCGGCAGGAAACTGAACACCATTTTAACGCCAGTACAGGGCTGGATGTGCAGCAGCCTTGTCAGCATTGGGGCTAATAAGCTAAATACCACTTCACAAAGCGTGAAATATAAATGCTTGACAATGCAAATGGGAAGCCTGTCAGAAATTGCTTTTAAAAAGCAAAGACGTTTAGGTTAAACAACCTGCAAGGCAGTTAACCCTCCACAGAGGTGCGTCGTATTTGCCTTCCTTGCAGCCCCAACACGGATAACTGTGACATTTGCAAGAAAATATTTCAATGTATATACGGTCGAAATCCAAAATAAAAATTAAGGCCTATATTTTAATGATACGTGATATATATTGTACACAAGCCATTCAGTTAAAGAGAGGCCGTAGACCGCCAGCCTCTCCCAGCGAACCCGGCCCAAGCCTCCATTTCCTCCATTAAAAAAGAATAAAAAGAGAAAGACGGAGACCGTCTTTCGTTTTCGCGGCTCAAATAAAATCCCCCGCATCGTTTCGTTACCTGGTCTGTTATGTTGAGTATCCCCATCTCCCAAAGTCAGTCAGGGCGAAAGTCCTTCATTAGGATAGGACAGAGGTAACCGGCGGTAGATGTGTTTTATTGTGATTATTATTAAAGGACTGAGTCGCTTAGCGTCTGACTGTGCTCGTCGTTGTTTATTGCTGTGGCAGACTGTCGGAGAAAAGACGGTGGCCCCCTACAGGAGCGGCGGGCTTACGGCAGCTGCGCGCCGCCCCCACCACTGCCATCTAGCGGCGGCGTGCGTAGCGCCATCGATGCGTTAGTCATCTGTCGATAACGTTGTTGCTTTTCTTATCTTTGTGTTATGGAAAGGCCTGTGGAAAGATTTAATTTGTGCCTGAATCTGTGTAAATACCACTGGCACACGGGTTTAAATGTATTTTGACGGTATGATATCCATAAAAAGGTATTTTCTAATCACAAGTTTCTCGATTGTTTGTTTAATTTAAAGATAAAACGTATGACACATATTAATCCCGAGGGTTTAAAAATTCCTGCAAAATTGTTTAATCAACCAATGTTCTAATCTAGAGCCTCCACTTAGTACTGGAAATGGATGAAAACAATCAGTCCCTTCATCACGACTTCGCGATTCTCTGATTCCAGATATTGACCCAAATCAAGAAAACTCCGCAATATTTCCAAGAGCTTCCATTTTTTTCCAAATTGGCCATATGTTATCGTTAAGAAATTGCCAAATCGACAGCTTGCATTTAGACCATGACGCGTCCTTATGAGCCCATTTCAGGTGCGCATTTATGTGTTCTTGCTGGGCTGCGCGAAGATGATGGCAGAGAACAAATCATTGACCAAAAAGTTGAGGCATTCTAAGTTGTTGAGGCATTACATAGAGCAGAGATCAGCATAGCTGCCATAAAACAAATAATTGGCACTTTGTCAAGGTATTTGACTGCGCCAGATAATGGAATTAACTCATAGCCGAGGACATTAACCACAGACACGTACATATTCATAGCTCGGGGAAAAATACCAGGCGAGAGCAGGCGGAAGTGCCGCGGTGCGTTATCTGTACCGTAAACAACCTAACAACAGTGTACGTAGGCTATGGTTCTTGAATTCAGAAGAAAGAAGAAATAAAAATGAGGAATGAAATATAATTGTTATGGAGCAAACTAAGTCCCGAAAATAATATTTTTATCTTGTGTGCAGACGAAATTATATTGTGTGTACTAGATATTATCTTAAGTAATCAATAAACTGAACTTATGCACACATATTATGGTCAGCGCACAATAAATTGTATTGTGCACGCTAGATAACCAATTGAGCACACTTATGTGAACACGTGAGCGGCGAACACAGCACATACAATTCTACTTCAATCTTGGAATGTCTTACAAAGACATTTTTGTTACACAGCGATAAAGTAAGCCTGGTATATTCGATGCTCAGCTTTCAGGCTGTAATATCTTGTAACCAGTGGTGCTAGCAGAACATTTTGATTAAGGGGGGCATCAGGGGTCAGTTTTATTTTTGTCGGTGGCCGCACTGCATCGTACATATTACATGATTTGGCTTAAAAAATAATTAATGTTTCCGTTGTTTATTATTTTGACGTGGTGTGGCAGCAGGGGTATCCGTGCATTTACTTGGGGTGGCAAGATCCGCCCCAGCGGAAAAACAAGCCAGGCGGTTCTTGATATCCAGTGCACAGACGGCAATGCACACCGATCATTTTTGCTATTCAAGCCCTTTGAAGATTCAAGGTTCTTTATGTGTCACATGCATAGTTATACAGGTACAACATGCAGTGAAATGTATCCTGAACCGCTCATACTTTGTGCAAATAAAGAAAACTAGAAAATAATTTGTAAAATATACTGTGAATAAATTATAGAGAGTGCAAAGCAGAAAAAAGAAAACCTATGAATTTACAAAGGATGAACAATTTACAGGATGAAATGAAATACTGTGCAAAAAATGTTTATAGCCAGTTAAAGTGCAGTGTGCAGTGTCAGCACAGCAGTGTAAGGTTGAACTAATAACCATAACACTATGACCGGGAGAGTGGCATGTCTTGATTGAGCAGTCGAATCTCCTTCACTGCTTGTGTTTGACTTTGTGATTAGCTGTGAAAATTGGCTGAAAAGTTCAGTTGTAACCAGATATTGGTTCATGGTTCTGGACCATGAAAGACCTAAGTTGCAGAAAAACAACCTTTCCATAATCTTTCCTAAAAAGGATGAGTTTGATATAAGCCTATAGTTACTTATTACTGAGACGTCTTTAAAAAGAAGTTTGATAAATGGTCTTCAGAGCCATTGGAAAATGGCCTGATTGAAGAAGACTCTTGATGTATTTGTAGCACATATGATATCATACAGTTAAAAACATCTTTAAAGACCTTTGACAGAGTGTCAAAGCAGCAGGTAGTAGACCTAAGGTGTTGAACAGAGTAGATCTTCAGTAACAGGGTTGGGGACTTTGTGGGATCCGTAGATTGTGTGATTTAAAATGAAATACACACATCTCTTTCTTCACCGGTAGTAGCTTTAAAAAATCCTGAACTTTTTTTTTATGCAATTGATGCAAAAAAGAAACACATAGGAGTCATCATTTTTGGAAAAGCTGCTGCAAAATCAAGCGTTTTTGGCCTCAGCAATCACAAAAAAACTCAGCTATGTCTTGTAGGGACTGAAAACAAAAAAAAAAACTCATTACAAGACATTGTACTGTGCAACATTTTTGTATTTTGCCATTTTAAAATGGGCATTTATGAAGTTCTGGCTGTTTAAACTTTGAGCTTCACAGCATTCTGATTAAAAATAAAGCAAATGATTCAGACTGAGATATACTTTTGTCATTCAGAGTAACACTTAAAAGTTTTTGCTTCTGGAAAGCAATATGTTTTACTGAAAAGTTCATCCTGAATCTGTTCCTGGCTATCTGCCATTTTTCCCATATATTATTGACTTGACACTTAAACAGGAATCTGTGATCAAACTATAGTGTACAGTCATTGGAACTCATTCAATACACTTTATCCAAAAGCTTTTTTGGCTCCCTTTCCTTTTAAGCATTGGCAGTAAAGGACATGAATATGGTTCATTGTAATGAACCATTCTGAACCTGGATAGACTTAGCGGAAAGGAAACATTATGATGAAGTGGTTGCTGGAATATGTTGTCTGAAAAGAAAGTGTGACCTTTCCCTGAAATACAGATGGTCATCATGATGACGTTCATTATATGTGATATTAAAAGCCTAAGGCTTTAAAATTACAATTCCCCCTTAAAAAGGCAATGAGTCAGTGTCATGGGACAAAAAAAGATGAGTAGCAAAAGTCCTGCATTGATTTTTTTTTCTTGACAGGTGGCCGCGTTGATTTTGCAATTTGACATGAATGTCACAGTTGGTTCAGCTGCATAAGATTTGTTGGTCAGAAGTGGAGTCTTAGGTAGGACCAGACATTTTCAACCCATCAGCTGTTCCAGTTTATTGGCACCATAATTATCTATCTCATAATAACAACCTTTCATTCTTCTGTAATACACTTTGCCATAAAATTTACACATATCGTTCAAATTTATTGAACAAAACTTCCAAAGTAATTAAGCAATGCCAATTAAAAACAATTACACATAGTGTTTAAAAAGTACTCTTGTACAGGTAGCCTTCAACATTACTAGAAAAATAAAATTAGTCTGGCATTCCTAGCTGAAGCTTATAAGAATGATTACACTCACACAGTAATAAGCCTTGTAATAACACACAAAAATCAACATATTCCACAAATCCCCTTCAAAGACACAGATCACAATGACCTTGTAACAAATGAGCTGGTCTGCTTCTTCAAGCCTAGATAAATGTGATATAACTATCAATTCGAATATTACTTAATAAAATGATCAAAATTACATGTAAAAGGATTTATTCTCTAAATTTTCAGGGACTTTACAATACATATCATAGTAACAACGTTTTAAAAATAAACACTACAGATGTTGCTGATGTAGCGACGCAGGCCACACACATCTAGTGTCCGAATATGCCCCTTCTGATGTAGATTTTGCATGCCCTCTTCAGGTCAAGATTAGTTTTTGTACTGTATTTCCTCGCAGCGCAAAGGCACATCTTATGATTAAACTAAAGCGGTTTCAAAACAAATACACCATTATGTTGACGCGTGTTCATGTACAGCATCACTTTAAACATGTATCACTTCTTATATTACCTAGAAGCGGTTATCTTCCTACTACTGGGATAATAATGCGAAACACCCCGTTTAAAGCGCTACATGTACACTGTTTCGTCAGAATGGAAGACTATACGGCTTTTGATTGGTTTAGGAGCCTTAAAAGTAGGATAACTGACCAATAAGCAGGGAGAGCGAACCAACTGGAGCCTTTACGGGGGTAGTGGGAGTTCCGCACGGCGGCTGGAGCATCCCATCCTGGAAGAGTCCTGGCGTCGCATGATGTGATGTAATAGATTAACCATTGCGTGCATACAGGATGAGCTTAAATTAAATATTTGGAAATGTCTTGGTATTGTACAAATTTAAAATCAACCAAATTACTGGCCTCCGATACAGCTGGTGGCTCGAATCGGATCGCAGTCCAAACGTAGGAACAGCGTGTCCTCGAACCGGTATTGGAAGATATCCTGCAGTTCGGGCAGGAGTGCGTTGACTCAGGAATAAAAAGCGGAATTTTAAAACTATAAAAAGTTACTGGCGATAAGATATCGACTACAGGAACGGACAAGTTGTTTTTTGATGGTTAAGATTGTTAAGTAGAATATAATTATAGTGGTGTCGGCTGTTTTACCCGACACCATTTTTCTAGGTCCGAAGGGAATAGCAAGGCGCATGACAATTTTAATTAGGTCCTCGGCGCAGTAAGTTGTGGTACAGAAGACGATGGCGGTCTCTGCGGGGCCCCGGCCGCTGCCCATGGGCGTGCGCACCTTAAGCGCCTTTTTAGAGATGGCCACCTTGGGCACCGAGCAGGCCTGCCGCGATACGCGGTGCGCTGTCCGGCCGAGACCGTGCATCAGGTAAGCGACACCGGTCGGAATGAAGCTTCCCAAGGCCACGGTGCGATGCATAGATACACCATTTGATCTGACTGCCAAACTGTATGTATCTGTGACTAAAACTATAGCCTTCCATTGGCAACATGTTTAGGTGCAACTGAGTATTAGTAATACATGTACATAAGTTACATAACATATGCTATAAGGGGGAGCCAGACTCTGGTCCTCGGGGTCCTATACGTAGGAAATACAGTATATTAGGTTTATATACTTCTCTAAGTTATTCGTTTATTAAAATAACAGCAGAAATTTAGCATAACATACCGGAATCTTCTTTTCTATTACCATGTTCTGTTACCATTTAATTTTATCTGGTTCAATCTCCTTCTTACCAGGACAAAATAAAATTTGTCCATTTTCTCCTTATAAGGCTCAGTGGTATATACTGCACATGCATTTGTTATTACAGTATATAGGTTTGAATGACCATAACCCCTAAATTCCACCGCAGAATTGGATGAATTTTAATGTAGCTGCTTGTCAGATACAGAAGGACATTGATGGACCTGTTACCGTAAAATTCACGGAGTATTCGCGCACTGGCAGACTACGTGGGGTCACCCGGCAAAGTGAAAATCGTGCAAGCGAGTCGTCAGGACTCGTCAGTTTGGCTCTTTTCCCCTTATAACATAACACACGTAAAGTCACAACGAGGAACATTTGTCGTTTTAACGAAATCATGTAGATTCGTTTTAATTAGCTAATTTTAACTTAAGAGAAAACGAGCGCATTATGACCAGAAACTGGACAAAATTTATTTGCACAGCCGTACCTACCTCTGTTAGCTGTATTGAATGTGTTTGGGCTTGCAGAGGTGTACATCTTACAGCTGGGTTACATTTGATAAAACTGTCCTCTTTTTTTAAGAAAAGCAGGGAGTTCACTGAGTGATTAATGGAAAAAAAATCCACTTTTTTTTTAATCTGAAATTGCTTTATTATGTAGAGTTTGATTGGTAATTAACTGCTGAAAGCAAAGGAACCTGGTATGATTAGAAATTTACGTCAAAAACAGTTTGTGACAATAAGTATTCAGTAGTGTATAGGGTTTGTGCATGTTTCACATTTATTTTTTGCTTAATTTAAAATGTATAGCTGCAGTCACTGAATTCTGAAATATCTGGTCCCTCTTTGCTGTTTAAGGCCGCATTTGGTAATTTGAGTAGATGTCTATCTGGCAATTACTCTCATTGTCACCCTTGTGCTCTTTATCAAAACAGGGGATGTGTAAGGGTGATGGTTTTTGCACGCACTGAGATTTTCTACATTTGCACGTTGCTCATTTTACATGTGCTGCCTGCCTGTTGAGTGATATGATTTTATGATTTTCATATGATTTTATGTGCATGGGGTATACATATAGGCAGGAGTGGGTGAGTATTATTGGTGATATTGAGAGTTAGACATACATTTCCCAACATATTATAGGATAATCTTTCTTTCTTCCTGGTATAAAGGTGGCAGCATGCCTATATGCCAGGGAAACGACAGCCTGTTTGGTTTGTTCCTTATTAAGACTGATAAGCTGCTGATTATCCATTACCCGGTACAGGCCCTCCCCTCACCCCAGGAACTTTAAATCGAAAAGTAAATATTCTGATATTTCCACTCCAGGTGGAAATGTTTTAAATGTGGCTGACAAATTCAACTCATGTCTTATCTGAACACATTAAAATTGTCATCTTTGATTCCATATGTTAACAGTGACAAAGGGGAGTCACTGTAATAGCCCTTTCATGCAAGCTTCATTCTGCTGTTGAGAACCCTTGCTGTTAGCATTTGGGACTTCCCCACAAGAGTGCAGTGATAATGCTGCCACGTCCCAAGTGTTCAGTATATGATGGGTGAATTTCCTGTGTTGACTTCCCAAAGGACCCATCCGCCAGACATCTGATCTGCCAACTATCCCTCTAAATACGCAGGTCTTGTGATCTGCCTCACTTGTGTATGAAAACTGGCTGTCAACTGAAGTGTATAAGACACCATTTCTATATTTAAATAGCAACATATGTGCATTAATTGTTCTTGTCGGATAACTCTGCCAGAGGTTGAAATAATAGGTTTTGAATGAATGGCCATTGTATTATGGGATTAATTATAATCTGATATGACGTAGCTCAGCAGGTTACATTTAGCTTGCATCAGATTTGATTTTATTTACTTTGTAAAGTTGTGGCCCTTGATAAAATGCTATCGATAGCAAGCTTACTATAGCGCAGACAGCAGACATTTGATTTTAATCTTTAAATAGATTTTTTTATTACAGCTGTGACTTAAAAAATTCCTCTTGATGATTTTAAACAAAGCATTTGCACTTTTTGGTCTAACTAATCGATCCATTGATCGCTTGATCACATGATTAACCGATTAGCAAAAAAATCATTTTTTGCAGCCCTACTCTTGTGTGTATGAACTGCCTCTGTGAAGTGGGAATAATGAGCCGAAACGGGTCAGCCAATGAAAAGTCCTCATTCTTCATGCATGCCAGACCCTGTAATGACATAAGTGTCTGATGCTGGTCAATACTAATCAATGGATGGAGTTAATTAGTGTTGAGAAGTGCCTTCTGCTGTCGGTTGGGGGGGGGGGTAGTTTGTGTAATCGGCATAGCCTATAATGGAACTAGAAAATAGTGAAAATGAGGTATTGTACTCTTTAGTTTCTATGGTCTTCATACTTCATCGTACTATTTTGCCTTCCTTGGTAGGTACTTGTCGTCATGTGGCATTCTGATGACTCGGACACCCAGAATGCTTCAGTACACGAGCAGTGAGCATGTGACCATTACCGGCAGTCGCAGCTTCATTAGCCTCACCAACAAACGGAAGGAGTATTCCGAGCGCAGGATACTGGGGTAAGAGTGGAGCCCGGGCTCTTTGTGATGAAACCTGCAAAACTTGCCGTGAAGCACTTTGTGTAGGAATGTGTGGAATGAGACCTGAGTTGATTTCCTGGTTTCTGACTTTTTTGTCGTATCTGACATGGGTGTAAGTCAGTGACCTTAAGGCCTTTTGATTCTATTGCAATTATTTATTATTTTGCAATTTACAATCCAATGCATGAAAAATATTTAACTTTTACCTTGATCTAATTTCATTAATCGATTATTGGGTTGTTTTGATGAATTAAATTCAAAACTTATTTTTAATTTCACTGACATGTTCAGGAATATGACTATGGCTCTGTTAACACTTGGTTTTAAAATGCATCTTAGGTGACTGGATCACAAGTGGGCAGCTGAGACACATTGCTGTTTACACCTGTGTCTGCCATGCATTCAGCTGAGCTCTTGTGTTAAGATTTCGTTACTGCCTATGTCACTTATGGTAGAAGATTTAATGGCCCCACACATAGTTATCATGATGTCCTTGTTGGGGATGCATCAGGACATATTAGCGTTTATATTACAAAAGACACACTGTATGGTCAAAAGTATTGGGACACCTGGCCATTACAACTACTGGAACTTCTGTGACGTTCCGTTCTAAATCCATAAGTGTCAATATGTAGTTGGTCTCCCTCTTCGCTTCTGTAACAGCTGCCAATCTTTTGGGAAGGCTTCCCACAAGACTGTGCAAGCATCTCTTATGATGCTACTGCCAGTGGGAGAGAAACTGTGGGGCATTTGCCACTTGCGTATACTCTCTAGGAATATATTCAAGCTGAACTGCAAATGCCTCAAAAATGCTTAAAACAAGATATACAAACGATGTAGAACAGTAGGTTATGTATGTTTCTAGTAGCCTAATTAAAGAATTTTTTGGCATTGATTTTAAAATTTGTATTTACTAGTTTAAAAAAATATGAATGTATAAATATTTATATATTATATACATTTATGATACTAATATATAAAAATAAAAAGAGCTCTTGTATCGGAATCTGTAATCAGTATCGGCAGTTGTGTATTGGAATCGAATTGGAACTGAAAACACGGATAGGCCCGTCCCTATTTTCCAGCCTTTCCAGGTTCGATTTGCGAAATGTCATAATTAAAGTGACTCAAACTCAGGGTTATGGTTGATTGAAGGTTGTTTCACTGGACATTATCAGGTACTCCATGCAGGAGATGTATGACGTGGTGTCCAACATTGATGACTACAAGCTGTTCGTGCCCTGGTGTAAGAAATCACAGACCGTCATGAAGAGGACAGGTCACTCCAAAGCCCAGCTTGAGGTGGGCTTCCCACCAGTGGTGGAGCGATACACATCGATGATCACCAGCGTGCGTCCTCATCTTGTTAAGGTAACAGGAGACACAACCCCACTTCCAACTGCCTGTGATATACAATTACAAGGCTTCCAGTCACAATTATACACAACAGGCAGCAATGTGAATTTATATGCTCAAAAGGACATTGACCATCCAGCTGATACTGATGTTGTTTTAAGTAAGATCTGTAAGGTCATGATGATCCTGGGACCTAAGCCAGGAAGGACAGGTCACCCTGGATAGGATGCCAGTCCATCGAAGAGCACATAGTCACACATAGTTACACTCGTGGGAGTTTTACTTACACAAACATGTTCTGAGGGCAGTAGGAAAAATGATCGGTTCAGAGAGAGAACCAATCAGATCGTAGAAGAGGTTGGACCCACCTACTCTACAATCTGATTGGTTAACTCCCTGAACCCCTGAACTCCCATGAGCTACAGTTACGCATAGAGGGCGATTTAGAAACCACAGTTCGCCTAAATGCACAAACTTTGGGCGACCATTGGATCTCCCTCCTCCAAGCTGGGACCAGGATTATTACTGTGCTGTCTCCTGCTTGGCCCATTTGCCCTAGGCTGTGTGCACCGACGGCAAGCTCTTCAACCACCTGGAGACAATATGGCGCTTCAGCCCTGGTATCCCCGGCCATCCCAGGACCTGCACAGTCGACTTTTCAGTATGTTTCTGCGTCCGGTTCCGCCGCCCCGAAAAGGGCCCATCGGGCAGGTGCTTGCTGACTCACCTCTCCGCTTCATCTTCCTCTCCCCTCCAGATCTCCTTCGAGTTCCGCTCCCTGCTGCACTCCCAGCTGGCCACGGTCTTCTTCGATGAGGTGGTCAAGCAGATGGTAGCGGCCTTTGGGCGCCGTGCTTGCAAGCTGTACGGCCCCGAGACGCGAATACCGCGGGAGCACATGTTCCATGAGGTGCATCAGATGTAATCCTGGATTCGTTTGTACCCCCACCATCCTTCTGGCACCCCTAGGATGAACTGCCTGCATTTTATCCATGGGACAATACCCCCCCTCCAGCTCCCAGCTGCCATATACCACCCACAACTCCAGCAGCTACACTGTTACAACTTGAATGTGGACCAGCCTGGCGCTCTCCTTCATGGCACTGGATGTTCTAGGGTCTCCCTGTAGCATTTCCTGAATAAATTACTGCCGTCTACCTCTGTGTGGGGTTCCTTCGCCGTAGGGAGAGGAACTCCATATCGTGACATAAATAATCTCTCAGGAGAGAGTGAAAATTTATCTGAATGGATTTTAATCTGGGGGTCTTCCAATGATTATGAATATGGGGGAAAAGGGAAAACCTCTCAGATTACTATTTTGAAACAAACTGCTGTAACCGTAGTTATTCCTGTGGCATTTAGTGGGGGTTTAGTGGGGGTTGGGGGGGGGGAGAGTTTTCCGTTGGTGGTGCTTTTGTTCAACAGCTATGTATGTGGCTGCTGATCTGTTATTTTCTGTTCCTGTATCTTCTGTTGGCACCTTTTCATCTATTCTTCTCTGTCAGAATCTACAGGTTTTATTTATTTTTAAAATGTTTTTAATGTTACACTGTTATGCAGTGTAATTCTTAGGTATTTGTTTGAAGAATATCTTTCTCCTTGCATCCCCACTAGCACTTCAGTTTGTAATATTTGATGTCAGTTCTGTTCTTATCCATAACCACTGTCTTCAAATCATGCTGGCCGTACTGTTAAAACAGTTTTTGTATGTCGGTCACTAATTGGATTTCAGGTCCCTGGTTTAAGGTTAATAACTGAATGATCTGATATTTTATTTTATCAGTAATACACATTATCATAAGGTATTTTTTTATCCATACTATGAGTTTCAATTAATTAGATTTGAGAATTTCTGTTTTCATTGCTACTTGGCTGGCTAATACTATAGCTCCTTGTTAAATCAAGATTTGACATTCTAATCTACCACGGGAAAGTTGGACTGAAAAAACAAGTATTATCAAGGTCATGTTCTCGGGTCGCAGGCAGTCAGGCCTGAGGCTCCACCAGTCCAATTCATACACATTCTATACTATACCGGCAGCTTTTGGTCAAAGGGATGGGAACCAGCAACCACCTTGAGGTCAGAGATGTGAAGTTCTGACAGGGAAGTTCCCAATTCACCTTTGCCCTCTGGCAACCTGGATGTTTTCTAAACAAAAATCCCTGGGTACCTTCATGTGCCCTTGAACAGGTCATGTCATAGAAAAGGTTCTGCTAATTTTGTTTATGTAATATGTTATCTAGATTGCTACTGAGTTTGATAGTGAGATGGAAAGGAGTCGTTAGTTCATGCCTTGTTTTTAATGGTGAGTCTTGCCTCTAGTGTTTTGTTTATTGGTCCATTTCCCCAATGAGACACAAAAAAGACTGAAATCAGTGAAACGTGAGCCGTGCTTCTCTGTGTGCTGTTCTTCATTAGCTTGCATTGGATTTTAATCCAGCCACTTTTTAAAAATCTCCAAGCCTTGAAAAGATGCTTGCGCAAGTACGTTTGAAGCATCTTAGTAGCTATTTTGTTGTGGTTCACTACTCGAGATAAGAGTTTCGTACTGCAAGCAGGTTTGTGTTGAAAGTTACACTAATAATTTAGTTAAATCACAATATAGGCTTTCAGCAGAATTACTGTCCAGTCTGTCCTTTTTGTTAAGATCTTAGTGTGAGAGGGTCTTGGCGCTGACAGGGTGTTCTGCTTGTCCATCTACCTCACCTCTTTTATTTTATTCCATTGTTAAGCATCTGACCTCATCCTCCAGGTGTAGGTTAAGCTCCTGGTTGAACGGCAACTCGCAAGTCCTACTGACACAGGATCCCTGATGTCTGTGTCAGTATTTAGAGGGAAAAATTGAGAATCTTGGGCTTGTAATGCTGGGCGGCCGCGTAACCAGTCTGCAGATAAACTAAACAAACGCCGTTTTGCTTACTGTGAAGTATTTGAGGATGATATTCAGAGTTTGCTAAGGCAGCAGATTTGGTTGCTTTCACATTTAACGTGGAAATGACCACTTACTGCTTTGTCATACACGACACTTTGATTTGCCTCCTTCGGCGACAAATACATTTTATTGCAGTTACACATTTATTAAATTATTCGGTGGAGTTTCAAGGTAATTTTTGTGTTGGCGAAAATGAAGGTTTGAAGCGTTTTGCCTTTGGGGTGCTAATGAAATGTAGGGTTTTAAGAGCTATTTAATTTGCACTCCTGTGGAAATTCAGCTTGTCCCCGTTTAACAGTGTTTGTTCACTTGCTGTCATTCTCCCAAAGATTAAAAACAAATGAAAATGCTATGGTTTGTGGCTATTCACACACACAAAAAATATATATAATTAATTTATTTATTCTCCCCTCTGTTAACGTGCCACTAGGCATTTGGACTTGTGTATGTTATCTGGATTTGTTAAACTTATTACCACTGTTTGCCCAATAAGACTTGACCTTGCTGTGCAGGTCCCAGTGAGCAGGCTGCCAGATTATTACCACGAGGTGCGATTCTGCAGTAACAGTATGTAGAGTATCCAGGGCTGTGACATACCAGTTACAGCAGGAAGACTGAGGGAACACTCTCTTTAAAAGTTTGTTAAAATAATAAATGGTTATTGAACATTGACATTACTTTTATCATCTTGTAAACTATATTGTTTTAGGGGACAGGTGTTTCAGAAATGAATTTCATGAGAAGGTCCTGTACAAGGAAAGTCACCAATAAAAAAATAATCTGAAAAAGTGGGACAGACTTTGGTTGCTGTGTGCACTGATCATCAGGAAACTATCGCGTGGATAAATATGTAACCCAGACTGATGGCAGTATCCAGAATCAGGATCATTTCACTCATTTTCAAGTTAAAATGTCTCCTTTATCGTCACCTGTTTTTCTCCCAGACTGTATTGTTTTGAATATGTGGTCTACGTGTAACTATAAGACAAAACAACATTTTGTTAATGTTGGTTTTCTATAGGTTTTGAAGGGGCAGCTACTGTAGTGTGCATTTAAATATAGTGTTCAAGGTAAAAAGAAAAAAAAAAAATACGGAAGAGGATTAGGGCCACCGTGAAAATATTATTTGAATTCTGACTTTGTCAGAATTCTGACTTTTTTTCTAAACTCAGAATTCTGACATTAAAGTCAGAATTCAAATAATATTTTCATGGCGGCCCTAAATCTCTTCCGTAAAAAAAATACACCAGGTAATCTGATTTAAATTTTTTCATTCCTCTTGCTCCATGCAGAAAAGTCCCCTAACAGTCTCAATGATCACGATTAAAGACAGAACGTCTGCCGCCTTTGTGATCTCTCATTGACCTAGACACACCAGATCAGCCCCGCTTCTTGTCAATATCAGTTGGTGGTTCAGACTCCAATCCCCTGGAAAGCAGTGCTACAGCAAGGGCTGGGACTGGAAGTATAAAATGGTCTTTGCAGACCGGCGGAATGAGAAACCGGAGTAGAGTAACGGCATCCAGGGCTATTTATAACAGGGGAGCGGTCCATGAAAAGCTGCTTTGTACTGGATATGTGTACATAGCAGCCTTTAACATACCCGACACCTCATTAGGATACCTCCAATTAATAAATGGGCACTTTTATGAGGTACGTCAGGCCTATTGTTGTGAAGTTGGTGTACCTGTAAAAGGGAACGACGCTCGTGAATCTGACAGTGCTGTGGTGCTGGAGGGAGCCGAACAGAACCCATGGAAAGAGGGCGACTGCAAGGAGCTTCTGCGGACCTCTGGCCAGTGGCTTTCACATTGTTTTGCTTGGTCGGATGACAAGAACTGTATACAAATAGCTAAGTGTGACAAAGAGCAGATGTACTTGGGAGGTGTAGAGCAAATACAGTGTTGGAGGGTCCCTGGGAATTTGTACCTGCCTGTACTGTATGTCTGTGAAAGACAGAGCTGGAACACACACTACTGTACTGTATGTCTGTGAAAGACAGAGCTGGAACACACACTACTGTACTGTATGTCTGTGAAAGAGAGCTGGAACACACACTACTGTTCTCTATGTCTGTGAAAGACAGCTGGAACACACACTACTGTACTGTATGTCTGTGAAAGACAGCTGGAACACACATTACAACTGGAAAATATAACCAAAAGGCAAGAAAAATTCAGCATCAAATATCATTCAGTATCAAATTTCTTCCCTTTCCACAACATCTTACTTATGGAAAAATTACAAATCAATAATTTTGGTATTTGGCTACAGTCATGTAAGCAAGGGCATCTTTAGGAATATTTTGGAAGGGGGGGGCGTTAACCCCAAATAAATGTGTATTTATTAGCTTAAGTCATTAATAGCTTTTTTATACGTTTGCCAGGACCCCGTAAAGACTCAGGCCCCCCTATCCATTCATCTCGAACTACACCCCTGCATACAGCAGTCAGTTTCAGCTGATCTTTTCCTTTTTTTATTTTCCATTTTTTCTGTATTATTTTCACAATACTGTCCCCACACCTTCCCTCCCCACCCATCCTCTCCGTCCTGCAATGCCGACTTCAGTGTCTGTCCCCTTCGTGTCTCTCTTCAGTACAGAATAACCTGAGGTTTGCACTAATGGGACCATGACATGAGAGGTGCCACTTTAACTTAAAAAGACAAAAACCACAGACTGGGATAATGACTGAACGTAGGAAGAAGGCTGTAGCACATGCTGAGGAAATGGTCCCATCAGTGCTTCACAGAATGGAGTGTCTAAAGACTGGCTTGACCATCAACCAGTCAGAGTTAACATGAAAATTGAGTGGAGGATGACATCGCCCCAGAGAAGTACAGGCTTCTTCCCGAGGCCACTCTGACTGAAGACCACCGCTTGTCAGCTAACACTGATTTTACAGACCGATGTTAAAGGGAAAGCAGGAAGCTCCACAGAGCCAGATGGTCGTCACCAACCTGCTCAGCCCTCCTGTGTGGGTCTGTCTGAGTTTTACACAACCATTAAGCTTGAAAGTCTAAGATCACCTTTAACTTATAAACCAAGTCAGGCTTGGCTGTGTTACTACTGTTGTCATTTAAGATGGCGGGAGATACAAATAAAAGTGTCAACACACCTACAGCTTTAAATTTAAACATAACTTATAAAAGATGATCTTACATCGGGTCATGTCAGGTTTGAAGGGAAACAAAGGGTTTTCTAGTGATACTACAAGTGCTCATTGTGGAGTAACAAAACTTGAGTGGTCTATCATGGTGTGGGCAACACAGGCAAACACTGTTTAAACAAGGTAGGTGTCCAACAGACATTCACCTGGCTGCGAGTTTCAAATATGAAAGCTGCTCTTGGGAAAAGGAGAAAAAAAAACAAAAAACACAAGACTATGGGCCACCCAACATGCAACAGAACCTATTAAAACAAATACAAATCCCATCCATCCTAACCACTTTCTGCATAACCACCTCCCCCCACTAAAAATGTAATGCAGTGTTTCCCAATCTGGTCCTCGGGGATCCACAGTCGGTCCATGTTTTTGCTCCCTCCAAACTCCCTACCAGACAGTGCATGTTTTTGCTCCCTCCCAGAAACATGGACTGTCTGTGGGTCCCCGTGGACCGGATTGAGAAAAACTGATCTAAAAGGTTACTCTGACTGATGAGGGGTCAAAAATTTGATGTGAACTGAGAAAGGAGGGGATAACTGAAGTCAACAGTGGAAGAGTAACTGATTTAAAGGGACAGTAGCTTTTTAGCTGACCTAACAGTAAACTGTTGGATTAGTACCCCGATGTGAATTTTTCACGTACTGATAAGCATCCAATGTACCATGGAGTGTTATTTTATAAAGGCAGACCCTAACGAGCAAAGCTATGGAGAAATGCAAGGATTACTCTAACGCATGCAGCAGGGGTAGAGTTGGGTTTCTGTCACTGGTTTAGTGAAGCCTTCAGGCAGTTTCTGCAAGCCTCTTATCTTCTTGAAAAGCTGCCCAGCAGCATGTCTGTGGGGTGGGGTGGGGGGGGGGTGAGGTCCAAAACCTGCCCCAGGAAAGAACAGCATTCCACTGTTTCCAGTTGGTGGTTGCTGGGTCAGCACTGCAGTGAGCCATCCACACCCACGATGCACAGTCTCACCAATTTCACAAACCCATTATGCAATAAGAAAAACCACTAGCATAGCATGAAACTTCACATCATAGGTGGCTAATTCAGGTGATTGTGGGGGAGGGGGTGTCAGTTATGCAATGTCAGGCCTACAAGGGATAAAAGGGACATAAATAAGGTGTGTGTCCTCCCCCCCCCCTTAAACTGAAATTTTATCTGAAGTGCCTTTGGGTAAACCAACAGTTTACTGTAAAGGTCTGTACTTAACTTTAAAAGCTTACTGTCTCTTTGAATCTCCCTCCCAAAGGCGTAGTTCTGAAGGTCGGCCCCTTTGAGCCCCCCCTCTACCCCGACTTGGCCCCCACCAGGGTCATCAGCCCATCGGTGCTCATGGACTTGGGGCGCTCCAGCGGGAAGCCCAGGGCCCTGCTCCACACCATCTGGGCCAGGACGCCCAGGGCCCGGGACACGCCGAACAGCACGGTGTAGTAGTTCATCTCCGTCATGCCGTAGTACTGCGGGGGGAATAAGGGAGGAGTGTGATCAGGCTGCAGATGAGTCACCCTCACATGAGCAAATGCAGAGCCAACAGAACCAAACCGATCACTCAAAAGTTTAACCTCAATCTGCAGATGCTAAGAAACTGGGCACCAAACTGCAGCGCAAGAATAACAGCAGCTAAATCTACATGTGGTCCTATGCTCCTCTGTCAGCTCCTACCTGCAGCAGAACCCCACTGTGAGCGTCTACGTTGGGCCAGGGGTTCTTGGCCTTGCCCTGCTCCAGCAGCACGTTGGGCACGATCTTGTACAGCTGGGACACCAGCTTGAACATGGGGTCGTTTGGCAGGTGCTTCAGCGCAAACTCGCGTTGGCAGGTGTACCGGGGGTCGGTCTTCCTCAGGACAGCGTGCCCGTATCCTGGGACCACCTGAGAGAAGAGAGGGGGAAGCTCCTGTCTATCACATCACCTTCACGTTTCCAGCCTCTGGAATACTTCTGGTCTGAAGATGGACATTAATTACATAGGGTGCTGGGGGTCAAATGTTGTTCAGGCATTTAAAGGCCTTTTCACACATAGTTCATTTGCTCTGGTTTGAAAGTTGATGAGTTGTAGCATTTTCCACCTTTGGAAAAATCCAAGCAAACCATAATGCACCATTACAAACTACACCAGAACGTTTACTCCGCTTATTGGTCAGATGTGTCTGTGGCAGAAGCAAGACAAATACAGGAAGAAGGTCCTGTGTTCTGAACTATTGCATATTTCTATGCAGCTTAACATGGAGCAACGTCACAGATGGCATGTGTTAGTAGCCGTGGTAATTATCTGGCAAGTCTGCACTATACCAGCAGAATGAGAATTCACTTCAAGGGTATGTCTCTATTGAAAGTCTACAGCATGCTAGCTTCCACCTCAAAACAAACTACTCCAGAGTTCATCTGGCACTTTACTGAGAACACCTCCTCTCAAGGGTCTTGGTGCAGTTGTTTTGGTCCGAACCTGAGTCCAATTACCATGTTCACACGAGCCCAAGAGAATCGCATCAAGGGGGAAAACGAACCAGAATTCGATTTAACCGGACTAAAAGGTACAGGAGTGAAAACACCCTAAGGCAGTATTTCCAAATCTGGTCCTCAGAGACACAGTCGGTCCCTGGTTTTGCTCCCTCCCAGCTCCCTGAAAACAAAAATGGGAGGAAGCAAAGACAGACTGTATGGGGGTCCCCAAAGACCAGACTGGGAAACACCACCCTAAGGCAATTCTCAGTAAACAGTCTAATTACGAACACCTGCATCAATATCACAATGTAAAAACTCAACACTATCTGAAAACATCGGACAGCAGCTACGCAGCCCGGCCTTCTTACCCTGCCAGACTTGAGGGTGTTCCAGATGTAGTCCCTCAGCTGCTCGTCAGAAACCTCCCCACCCAGCTCCTTCTGCAGGGCTGTCAGCCACACCAGCACCTCCTGCAACGAACACTGGCGTTTACAATGGCCTGGACGACGAACACTGGGAAGCAAGCGTTACAACAGACGCAGCAAGAGCAGGCTCACAAGAATATAGTGAGTCTACCAGCAATGAAGACACAGACAGAGACACAGACAGAGACACAGACAGAGACACAGACAGAGACACAGACAGAGACACAGACAGAGACACAGACACACACCTGATTGGCCAGTCCGTGCAATGGTCCAGCCAAGCCATTCATGGCAGCACTGAAAGAGAGGTAGGGGTCGGACAGGGCACTGCCCACGAGGTGACTGGTGTGAGCGCTGACATTGCCACCTTCATGGTCACTGTAAAAGAAGAGGATTCAGAATAAAAGTCATGATAGTGTAATGGTAACAAGTTTTAGATCGCGTAGCATTTTTATTACTACAAAAAAGCAGTGAATATAGCTAGACAATGATTTTCCATAATGTCATCACATGAGAACAGACCCAGCCAATCTAAATACCTTAAAGTACATGAAGACTTTCATCAGGGAGAGGATCCTGCATCTCTATCAAACAAGTTTTTGGTAAATAAAAGTGGAACCAAAGCTCAGCTGTAAGCATTGTACACAGACACATTTTAAAAAGTGTTCCAAGAACAACTGCGGAGCTCCAAAGTCTGTGAAAGCGAGCAGTCTGAGACCTCCATCTGCTTCATAATGGCATAAAAAATATGGAACCACTTTACAATAAGACTACCCTTATAAAGGGTTCATGAATGGCTTATGAGCAGGTTATTAACTTAGGTTGTAACACTTTTCTCTATTAATGAGTCACTGCCATTTATAAGTGGCGAAAGGGAGCCTTAATTGTAAAGTGATACTAAAAATATACTAAAAATATACTCCCTTTTGCATCAGTGAGAAAAATCAGGCAAGCTATAGTGACATGGTCCTTGTGGGATGATTACAGCTGAAACGCACAGAAACTCAGACAGATCTGTACCCTGTGAGAGGGCCAGCCCTCCCCCCCTTACCTGTGAATGGTGAGATAAAGTCGCATGAGCTCAGTGAACTGCGGGTCGCTGTAGCCCAGCATGTTAGTGAAGTTGTGGGACCAGTCCAGCTGGGAGTCGATGGCGCCGATGCTGCTCGCTTCACGGTAGAGGTTGCGGTAGATCTTCGCTGCCACACATGGCAGCTTGGCAATCAAGTCCATGGAGTCCTCGTAGATGAACTGGGAATGACATGCGAGACAGTTTAGCGCTTAAGGACACATTTCGGCCCGATCTGCACAGACCCCCGCAGAACTCAACGGCGCGCTCACCTCCCAGTACTTGGCCTTGTTAACGCCCTCGGAGTAGGCGCGGGCAAAACTGCTCTCGCTGTTGAGAGCCGTGATGGCTGCACTGAACTGGGACATGGGGTGCAGGTTCGTGGGGAAGTTGTCCAGCATGGTGACCACATGTGAGGGGAGGGCTGCCCGCTTGGCCCACTCCTTCGACACCCAGTTAACCTGAGGTGAAGTGGGAAGTGGGGGGGGGGGTTGGACTTTAGGCATTCATTTAAAGTGTTTAAGTCTCTGTCTCCACTCTAATACAGTGATCTGCAAATACACCCCCGTTAATGTACAGGTTTTGCCCAGACATCCAGTCCAACAGTCAGTGTCAGTGGGCGAAACCTTAGACAGTAAGTCAGCCCTCCACAGCAGCCCAGCCTCCGAAGACACGTGCTGCAGATTACCAGAAAAGTAGTCCTATGCCGGCTTTTAAAGCAGCCATTCTCTCTGACGCAGGTAATGTCAGACTCCACGCTAAAGCAGGCAGGAGGTCGACAACATCACCTGGCTGAGCTTTGGACCTGATCTGGACGTTTCTCAATGACTGACGTTGCCTTAAGCAATGTTTTATACTTGTAAATATAAACTTTTATTGGGAACTTCAGCTTTACAGCCAGACCTGAAATCTACACCCTCATTAGATTGCTGCATTGCATTGTGAAATTAGAAAGCAATATGACTGGTGGGGGGGAAAAAAAAAAAACTTGGCTCATTAAGACTAACAAGTCCTAAGAAAAGAGGGGCTTCAACCAGGGGAACCTGTAAGCTGGACAGCACTCTCACCTGCTCCTGTGTGGGCACCTGACCAGTAACCAAGAGCCAAAACAGGCCCTCAGGTAGGGGCTCCTGGCCCCCAGGAGCCTTGGGCAACAGCTTCTGGCATTCTGGAATGCTGTATCCACGGAAACGGATTCCCTAGGAGACACAATGTAGTTTGACCGACAGTTGAAGCCTGTGACTCAGCTGACAACTCACCCAGATGGGTTGCCTAATGCCACCAAAAACATCCCTCCCTTCAGTTCATTAAAATCCTGTCCCATTTTAGATACTGAGAGTTTATGGCACCTGACCTCTGACACACATATTGTGTGTCACATGATCTCTATGCTTGTAAGATGGCAGAAGGTGGTGGGAATGCAGCCTGCATTATTCTCCTTCCTTTTTAATGTCGCACAATGAACGCATACTGGTCTGCCAGTGACTGTGCAGACATGAATATGGGACTTGTCTAATCAACATTCAGCAGCAACTACTCAACTTCTGAGTTATTATTGCTGCAACAACATAAAATACTTCATCACATTGTGAAGATGCACCAATATTTCTGAGCTTGAAAATCAATACACCCAGCTTGTTGAGTATGGTTTCATTACAGGACTTGCAAATTCTGTTATTTTTCGTATCCAAGACATCTTGCAAATGAGTTAAGCATAAGCCTTGATGGCAAGACTGCTGGACTTGGGACGACAAATGGGGTAATTCAGACCTTAAAGTGAAAAATCTAGACTCATTATTAGTTCATTTTCATAAGTCAACTGGCCTTTGTATTATCAAGGTCTATAGCATACAATATCTTCTCTTCCTATAGAAAAACAAAAAAAAGCCTAGTTAAAATGTGTCTGTGTACAATGCTTACAGCTGAGCTTTGGCTTCACTTTCAATCTGCTATGCCTAATTGTAAACATGACAAAAGCAAGTTTCTGGTTTCCGTCAAAGGGCCTAACAGGACATGAATCATGTCACAGTTTTCTTAAAGGCGAGTGCAAACCAGCAGAGCAAAACCAAAATGAGGAAATAAAGGGAATCAATTTTTTAAAGATATACGTACTACACTACAATCTTCAAAAGAGAAGACAAAACCATTTCCACTACACAGAGGTCTGGATATAAATGAACAGAAAATGTCTTCATCTTCAGTTTCACCTGAGAAATGTCTATGCTCTGTTTTAGAACTTCACCTACTAGCTCCAAAAGATGACTAGAAACGTGGGCGCTAGTTAAATGCTCACCTCATCAGGATCCAAGACAGAGGTCTCGTACACCAGGCCCTTCATGCCTCGCATTCCACCGTACACCTGCAAACACACGCACAACACGTTTCCCACCAGACTCATCAATGGCTGCCTGTCTGAGCAGGAAAAACACTCTTTATTCAGCTAGTATGACGTTACTTTGAACCAGGGATCCATGTGGAGATGAGCGCGTAAGAGCTCTTAAAAAGGTTTAAGAATACAGATTGTCCAGATAAAGGGATTCATTGAGATTCACCTGTATTTAGTGCTAAAAGATCACTAAACATTAACAGGACGTAAGGGACTAATTACCGCCACCACCCCTAGTTTAAAACAACATTTTAACAATGTGCAGAAAACCAGGTGGATATATCTGGCAGGTCCAAAACAGATTAATCTCCAGGCAGATACCAGTAACATGAAGCACCTGATAACACTATCAAAAGTAGGGCAGCCTGATCGCAAAATGGCAGAATGACAAAGGCTGGCTGTGCATGCCCGGCATGTTAAACTCCACCATTTCTTTGCATAGACAAAAAAAAAGAGGGAGCACATCGAATGCATGGAGCTCTACTGATGCCAAATGGCCAGCTAATCTGTGTGAGTATGGTGGTGCGTTTCCATCAAGAAGCCAACCGGCAAAATGACACTCAAACACCACATCCTATACACACCATGGGGAAGTTCACAAGAAAACAGACTGCCCATCAGAGTAGGTCTGAAAGGGAGCATGGTCCTTTGAAGTGGGAGGTGTTGCCAAGACCAGCCCCAGAACCTGCATCCATACTGCACAATATTCTGCCAAAGCAGGTTTTGCAGCATCAATTTCTATAGAAACATGGCCAAGGACAAACTTAACTCTTAGCAGAGGTGTTACCACACAGCAATGCTTCTACAAAATGTCGCCATGCTGTCAGACAAAGTAAAACAAACATCTTTCTTACTTTTAAAACTTACCTCTTACCCCCAATACTGATGGTAACATACCTCAACATGACAACTTATTTGGCACCGACACAAGGCCATATAAGTCCGTCACAATTAGGTGCAATGGGCACAGTGACACAGCTAAAAGGGAGGGATGTTGCCACCCGAGAGAACTGCGACCTTCACCGTCTGCCAAGTCCAGAGCAGCATCGCTCCACAAGTCAACCCTTCGGAACTCAAATTGATTTCACTGCCATAATTTGGCACCTGCTACAAAGCTGGGCATGTTGTAGTCTCACCATGTCCACAGTGATCTGGCCAATAGTGGTTTTTCCATAATTCTGTTTGAAGTTCTTGATTCGACTCTGCTCCTTGGGTATCAGGTCAGCCAGCACATCCTTCAGGCTCTACAATGACACATAATCCACACTGAACCGTAAGGAGAGGGGAAGAAAATGACACTTTCGAAAGACAGGACCCATTCAGGTCAATGTAAAATAAGAACTGCTCACTTTAAAGATCATGCTCGATAAGTATATGACAATACAGACAAGTGTAAAAGCAATAAGATGATAGAGAATGACAGGAAGCCCAAAAGGATAAATGACACAGTCCTGAGTGGCCAGACATATAAGAGACGAAGGCCACGTTGTACAGCAGATACTCACAACCGATGAGCTTGCATGCCTGGAGGCCACGACGATACAAGCTGCGTTCTGAAAGAGAAAGTGCCAGATGAAGCTGTGAGCAAATGCTGGCAGGAGCGTGAGCAGGTTTTCTGGACAAGCAATCAGCCTGCAGTGATCCAGGGTGACAGTGTTTGATGGGGGACCCGTCACCTGCACCACTGCATCCTGCACCTGACCCTGTACACTAATCATCACGGCAAGCTGTGCAGATAAAGACCATGTCTTGTTCTCTGAACTCCAGGGAAACGCTGCCTGGATAGAACTTCAAAAAGCTCTTATGCCTTCAGAAATTGCAAGAGGCTTCAAACGTAACGTAGAGTGTTTTGTGATGGGAGAAAACAAGCGAGCGAGAAATAAAACTACTGAGTAAGATTCCTTCAGAAAGCATCAATGAGCCACAGGACACCAAGTAAGTCACAGAACCCCAAAAACTTACAGGCCATGCCCTCACTAGGCTAGAAATAGAAGAATGAATAGATTAGGAGGCAGGACACATACTATACAAAGGCGACCCTCACTGGATTATGACAACACTTGGCAGATGAGTGAAAACCTCATCAACTTGTCCTCTATTCTGCACTTAAAAAGCATATCAATGAAAAAATATCAGGAAGACTTAAGTGACGACCCGAGCTGATGTCAAAGATCGGAATTGAGGCCGATTCAAGCATTTTTAATTGACTGGCATCAGCCACCACAGCCTGATATATTTAATTCCTTTCATCCTCCTGTCAGTTGAGCAGATTGTAAAGGTTCCATCAAATGCGGCATTAAGACTGAGGCTTGAAACTACAAACTATTGTGACATCAACTGTGGAGATATTTTTGAAATTGTAAACTCATAGTGGCCCAACAGCCACCTGCAACATTTGCAATGGTATCCCCTCATGAGAGGGGTAGCAACCGAGTCTCACTTAATACAACCTATGTAATTAGGCACTTGCAGAAACATCATAAAGAAGAGTACTGCGAGAACGCAAGGCTCACTCAGACGAAGAATGGACCGACGCCTACCATATGGGTTTGTATACTAACATACTTACTAAAATATCAGCTCGGGACTCGGAACCGCTAGATATAAATATTGAATGGATCTGATCAGATTGGGGTACCAAGCAAGTGGATCAGGGACCCCTAAAAATTACCACAGCATTAAATTTCCACTAAAGATACAACAATAAATATTATGCAACTTGAACAACAAGCCAACAGCCAGAACTAAAGAATGTAATGGTCTAGAGCAGCTTGAACAAAGATATAACACTACATTAAATACAGCAAAAAGAACAAAGTGATTTGGGGGAACGGCTGAGATCATCAATGAAAATAATGAGCCTGGACTATGCAGAATTACCAAAAGCACAATCAGCCAGGTCACAGGAGAGCAGATACACAGACAATCGAGGCGATGGCCAAGGCATTCAGCCGGTCAGGTGAGGGAGATCGGCGCCTTTCACCTGATCGGCATGCTGCACCTATCTAACTCTGAAGGGGATCAAGCTTAGGGCTGTCAACTTTACAAAGCTCTAAAATGGCTGCTAGCAGAAACAAAAGAATAAAAAGGCAAGGTGGGAAAAAATACAGCAGGAGTTCCTGTCATCATTTAGCAAGATATTGACAGATAAATAGTGGTGAATTTAGACCTGGCTGCTCTCCATTCTCTTTCACAGATTAGACAGTTTAAAAATACAGCAATGCGATTAAGAAAGGATGCGTCTGCCTATGGGTTATGACTCGATGTCCATGATCGGAATGTCACCAGTCTCGTGTCATTATAACATCCCTGGAATTGCTCTGGGGTGCTGGATGAATGCCTGACCCTGGGCCCTAGCCCCGAGTTTAAATGTGCATGGTATGTGCGTAAGTGTGCCTCATAGGAAAATAAGATGGGATATGCAAAAACTAAAGGATTCCTGTACATACACACATATGGCAAAAAAGGCACTGCAGCCCAACATGGCTGTTGAATCCAGAATAAACTGCAGAAAATTACTCGTTCTAAAGGGAGGAGTGAAAACATGGCTATAAAATCAAAAGTTTATATTCAACTAGCAAAATAAACCACTCAGTATTGACAGGGCACTGAGTGCTGAGGGCTCAGTTCCTTAAATGGCCCGGTGACTCTGACCTTGAAGTAGAAACTTTGATGGAAAGGGTGAACCAATATTCTTCAAAATAAAACTAAACGTAGCCTCATTAACATAACGTTTAAGCCCAAAGACATCTTCACAGCAGCAACAACCCCCTATTACTCCAACCTCTAAAGACAAGCACCATGCATTCACGTCACAGACAGGTCAGTGGATCATAGCGATAATCTCACTTGGACAGTAATGTTATAGAGTATGAGAGTACATGATGAAGACCTCTGTAATTCAATTTAAAAGGAAACTAGAGATATTAGTTCGTCACCAAGTAGACATATCATTCTATTTCTGACAAAGGATAATAATTTGCTAGACAGGATATTTGGCCACTGAGGTGAAACTTAACGCTAGCATGGTCAAAAAGGTAAGAAACGGAATAGTTCAACTAACATAACAGCGAGCCTTATTTAAACATCCATCTGGTGGCAAACAGTCAAACAAATAGGTGGCTTGCTTTCAAGCACTCAGAATAATAGCTACCCACCCGGCAAACAAAAATAATAACCTGGCAAAGAATCTCATGGCGAAAAGGCCACAAAACGGACCATCTGCACTGTTAATTGGACCATTTTAAACAACCTCGGAACAAAAATTGATGCCCATAACACTGAACAGTAGTAAAGACCTAAGCAAAAGCGCCATCGTCATTAATATTCATATAGACGTAACAGAAAGTGACCAATACGAATCTACAAATAAAATAGCTTGGTGTACTGTCAAGTATGATATCAGGCAATATTACACGTTAAGGAGAACATGATTACTGGATGCCAGATACTATTGCCGCGATTTGCTGCGAATAAAAAAATCGACCAAAAAAAATTATTCAAGCGGCTAAAACATCTTTGGCAAAACAGTACAACAATTCTGCCTAAGACGCGAAGCCGGTTCGGTTAATTTGAGCGAATTCAATTGCACACGACTGCAGATTAACACAACAAAGCGACAGACTTATTTCCTTTGCCTTACCTTTGAATTCAGGAGTCTAGATGCTAACCTACTGACAGTGAGAAGAGACATGATGACTGGGTTAGGATATGGAAATTTATATGTATTTTATACTGATCTTAAGCCACTGTCAGCACACAGCAAAGCTCGCTGAAGGTGCCCCTCCTGTTTCGGTAGCGGTAGTGAAGGTTGAAAGAGAGACTTAGGGGCCGCAAGTAGAAGCTATCTGGATTGGACGGGTCCTAATAAGGAGATGACGACAACATTACGTGTTATTCGCGACCAACCTCTGCTAACAATTTTGATTGGATATAATCACCAGTGACCTAGAAAAGTATTGGTTACTCAAGGGTCCTAACGTTCCAATGTGCTTCTTTATTGGAGGCCCTCTGGCTGCCTGACTTAAAGTAAACTATATGAAATTAAACAAATGTACGCATTTTTGAAAAAGAAGACATTTTACTTGTAACGTTAACATCACAAAAATATGGAAGGTAATCATGAGTTTTTGAAGTGATTAATAATAATTTCCATCTCATCCATCTTCAGATTCCACATCCCATCTTAGGCGCAATCATTGGTGGATGAAGGAGAACGTGAGGAGGGGGGGGCGTTGCTGAGTTTGCTGGGGGCGTCGAAGTTGTTTATTCTTCTGCTGAATAACGTAATGACGTTAGATCGTTTTTCTCTGTGAACAGTTTTTCGGGACATTGAACATCCTTCGGCGGTGTCGGAGAGCTGCTGTCAATTTGCGGGAGACGGGGGGGTCTTCTTACATAATATTATACGTATCCCGTTTTGCCCTCCTTTCACACATACACACATGTATACAGTTGAAAGCAAAGCAAAGGGTAAGGCCGTTTATCTGGCATCCCAGGAGAATTTCGAGAGGTTAAGGATCTAACGGAATTTCGGAAATGCAGAAATGGATAGTTTAGGTCCAGAAAACAAAACACCAGACCAAGATTTTGTCTCAATGAATGCATTGAGTATAAAGAATCACAGAGTACTCAACTAGTTGGTTGAAACAATATCTTGATTTGGATTTTTACTTTCTACCTCCTACAGATGTAACTACAGTGTTCTACTAAGGCTGGGAGTCAAACCAACAACTTTCTGCTCATAAACACAGAACCTTAATTTGCTAAGCCACAGACCACCTGATGTATGTATTGTGTAATGCTGCTATTGTTTTTTTTAAAAAAAACATTTAATTGTAAGATGTTGATAACTTATAATTGTCTTCACTCTTGCAGGCTTTCACAAATTAACATTAGCTCCTATGTATAATGACTGGATTGCAAAATTTGATGTTCTGTCCATCCATCTTTCCTACTGCTTCTGTAGTACAGGGCCACAGTGAGTCTTTTTTCTATTAAATATATTTATGATATGCAAACTCCAAAGGCACAGAAGTAGAATTCAGTTTTCCACTAAGCCACTATGCAACCTTATGTAGTTAATGCATTAAACAGACAAGGAATGCATATGGTTTTGAGACTTGTCTGCCGCAGCTGTACACACTTTCTTGTTAGCAGAATAACTTAAAAATTATTTTATGGATCTTTTTAAAACTTTGCAGAAACATTGCACAGGTTTTGAAAAAGTGAAAAAAGTTTTTGTCCCATCTTTTCCAGACTGTAGACGCATTGTGTGGGTGATGTTCTGGTAATGTTACATTCTGAGACATATCACCAAAGTCAGTCAGCAAGATGTATTGTGGGAGACTTCCCCCTCCACAAGCTGTTTGGCAGAACTTATTGTGTCCTGCCCCCTCACCCCACCATGAAATGTATTAATAACTATCCATGAACAGGTTGGCAAAACTCATCGTGGGGAGCCTTACCGCTGCTTGTGAAAAGTATTGGTAATAATCCATAAGCCAATCATGAAAATTATATTGGAATTATATTGGTAGCAATCTATGACATGTCAGCTAAACTTTTATGGGGGACCCTATTCCTGCTCAGCGAAATGTATTAGTAATATATGCTGAAAATTATTATGGATGATGACAATCCACGAGCAGGTCAATGTCATTTATCATGGAGGGATATTGTACAGGTTTTGGGGTGTGGAAGGAATAGGGATTAGATGGAGGAGGGGATAGGGGGAATGGGAATATACTTATATATCTATCCAATTTATAGTTTATTTGTCACCAGTACAGCTGTCTGATTACTATGAATGCCTGAGAAACAGATCTACAAAGACTACTAATTGTATAACCAATCTTAGTTAGATCATTTGTCATTGCAAATACCACATTAACACTGCATAAAGTGACATTTAAGTAGTTTATGATCACTGCATAATATTAGCTACTAACCAGGGTTATGTTAACAATGTTAGCAACTTACATATTTGGAACCATGCAACTGAACAGTTCCAGCTATGTAAGTTATAAAGCTTTTGGGAAATAGCTCGATAGCTACAGTGACTTTTTCCTTGTGTAGTGTAACAAGTTAAAATATCTACATTATACTGAACTGTTCATAAAAGTTGAACGAAAAATGGAGCACTTAAAACTTGTATTAATCCATTTGTCATTAGTAACATAAATATGTCCAAGTTTTATATGTACTTTGAAAGGATATATCTAAATCAGAGGGTTTCTAACGGTGTGCTGTGGGAGCAGGCCTGGTTTCATGTGTAATTTTGTCCTAACATGGAATGCCTTATTCAACTATTTCATGAAATAAAGCACACGAAAGGTTCCAGTCCCCCACAACCCTGCAGAGGACAAGCAGATATAAGAGATGGATTGATGGATGCAAAGTTAATGTGCTGCCGCTAATTTTTAAGTCATAATGTGTTACTGAATCGTTGACTGTGTTATTGCATGTGGTATTTTGACACTCAAATAGGAAAATAGTATGAGCAAAGATACCTATAGAATTGTGTTTGTAAACAACACAAGATCTTCCATTGTGATGTTGCAAAAAATCCCAGAATTCACAGCTAAAATCAAACCACTCAGTTTGTGTCTCAGATGGTGGAGAAAGGAGAGGAAACAATTTAATTTGGTTCATGTACTTGGTTCATTTTGTTTTTAAAGAATTGCCAGACAGCTCAAAGGATAAAATGTTAGGGATGGGCCGATCCATTTTTTCAGTTCTGATCCGATTCTGATACACAACTGCCAATACCAATTCCAATACAAGGTCTCTTTTTACTTTAATATTTTAATATAAGAAATGTGTATATATAATATAAGCATATTTATACTTTATATATTATTAATATTTTAAAATCTAGTAAATACAAATTAAAACATGTATGACAAAAAGAACTGGTAACATACATAACGTACTATTCCACCTCATTTTGTTTTAAGTGATTGTGAGGTTAACCATCTGTGGTCTAGTGACCCATGTCCCATGTTAAAAATTTTTATAAGCAAAGTTTTTTTTGACTTTCATGAATTTAGGTTACTTTATTACTGTAATTACAAATAATAACATGCAAATAGAAAATTAACTGATTTGGGTAGGTTAAACTAGTGTTATAGACTTATATTAGCCTTGCTATTGTAACTAACTATTTTTTTTTGTAACAACACTTAATTAGTGATTTTGAACCATTTTAATATTGACTTCTACTTGAGATTAAATATAGCCTCTATATACATTTGAGTACAGTATTTTGTGGCAGTTTGTGGGTCATTTTCAGATGCACTCAGTACTGAAAGACACCTTGTGGTGCAACCTGGACACATCTTTAGTGATGTAACCGGGGTCACGGGGTGTTTCGGGTCTTACACCCTCACCCAGGTGACCCAGCCGGGGGTGATCATCCCCGACTTGTGTCCAGGTAGCGCACTACAGCACGCATCCTTCCTCAACCAGAAGCCTTTCCCGCAGCTTCCATGACGTTCTTCATGGCTCTTCGCCTGTGCAGTCCGCAGATCCCTAGGAGTCCCAGGACCCGGTGTGGAGACTGGCCAGCGAAGCCCCTGCAGCCCACTTCTATGGGCTCACAGCGGGCCTTCCACCCATTCCTCCGCCACTCAGCCACCAGGTCAGCGTACTTGGCCTTCTTCCGTTCTTGAGCTTCCTCCATCCGCTCTTCCCAGGGAACAGTTAGCTCCAGTAGCACCACCTGTTTGCTTGCCCCGGACATCAAGACCATGTCTGGCTGGAGTGTTGTCACTGCAATGATATCCGAGGATCTCAACTGTCTCCCCAGGTCAACCAGTAGTTGCAAGTCCCTTGCAGAAGCAAGCAGGCCCCCCTGGGTCTTCTTTGGGGACTGGGGCTTCTCGCCTGCTCGAACGAAGGTGATGGTACACTTGCAGGGTTGTTGCCGCTTGCTGTTGTTGATGCCAGAGCAGATGGTATCTGCCTGCAGAACCTGGTCGTGGCGCCAACGATACCGACCATCTCCCAAGGCCTTTGACCAGCAGCTGAAGTTGTGTTCTAAAGATCCCCTTTTCTGGCACGATAAGAAAACATTCTGCATTTACGAAGATGCACACGTCAGTATTTTCACTGAAAGAGATGGTGTGCCTTGAAAATTTAATGAAGGCTGTAATTTCAACCTGAAAGAAGAAATGATGCTCCACTTGACCAACAGAGGGCAGATGTATTGCAATAAACAGAAGTACAAGTAGTGTAGTGAGATGGATAAATTAAAGCTGTTACTAGGCTTGGATGGTATTACTGCCCACTGGTCAGGGAATTTTATCACCTTGATTAAAAAAATTTTTAAATGAAAAATTAGATATTCGGGTACCTCTGTACCTCCTTCATCAAAACTATTCTTCTTCTACTCCTTCCTTGCTGACTCTTTGTTCGGTTGCACACTACACAATTTTCTCTTAAGATGTATTTCACTGAGGTAGCTGGAAGAATAAAACCCAGTGAAAAGAAGCCAGGCTGGTGACGGTGGCTTCCTTTTAAGCTTAACATTCAGAGCAGCTGGATGACATAAGCTGCTCTCGCCTCTCTTCGGCCCAACAGTTTCTGAAAAGTCAAAAACACTATTGTAGACATTTCGTAGTGTGTTCTTGTGTCTTATATTTTTCTACAGGGGAAGTAAATGCTGACTTGGAGAAGGAGGATTTACTCCTTTGCTCTGCAAGCACCAACTCACAGGCATTTGCAGATCAAAAAATGTTTTTTTTTTTATATATACTGGTTGAAATGTTATTGGTGACTGAAGTCCTCCACCCCAATAGTGGAGTTACACAGCCCACGATGTGAGTTACAGTGACCAGCCTGCAGTAAGGGACTTTTGC